ATTTTGAAGGCAGACGTGATCCCATGTTAAACAAGACTCGTGTCTTAATTTCTTTACCTAGCTTATTGTCATCAATCTGGGGTCTGAATGTAGACAGGATGGAAGATTTTTTCAGCCTCTGTGATTCTTATAACATGTAAGGATCTGTCTATTAGTGGTGCTTGGTCAGCACTACAAACTTCAGTCTTATAGTGGAATTTAAAAGCATGCCATGAATGAGCCTTCAGGGCTCTAATGTATGTCACTAAGCCATATTTTGTGTTTTGTCTCAGATTGCTTGTGTTACTTTTTTTGAGGGATTACTTTCTTATTCTGATTCTCAGTTGCTCGAACCTGTAATCTCATTCTGATTGTTTTGGATGTGCTAAAACCCCTTGGTCACAAGAAAATCATTGAGAATGAACTGGAGGGATTTGGAATTCGTCTGAATAGTAAGCCCCCCAATATTGGCTTTAAAAAAAAGGATAAAGGAGGCATTAACCTTACAGCCACAGTAAGTTGGAAGTTTTCTTTAAGTAATAACAATAGAAAAACTGCTTGAAGAAAGAGGCATTTACACTTAATGGTGTGCCTGGGACTGTTCCTGTGGTATGGCTTCTTGAGAAGCTGGGCTGTGCTGCAGTCAGTTAACTTTTCCTGGCGTCCATCCATACCTATCCCAGGAGCCTGAGCACCTCCTCTGCCCCAAATCAGAGGCTTGGTTGCCTTCCAGCAATTACAAGCTCGGAGGCCCAGAGGGGAGTTTACAAAACCTGCCTTTCACTTGGTGGCTACGGCATTGTTCTGGAGAGGACTGCTTGGAGTTCTGGCCTTGCAACCTGGACAGCTCCTCATTTCATATTTACCACCAAATCTTTAAAAGCGTAGAAATCCAGAGATACCAAAAATCAGAACTCTTACCTGGGATCTAAGCACTTAACATGTAGTTGTCTGAGCACTGAACTGGTAGATGCATGGGTTTGTATTGCAATTGGTCCTAGGTTGACAGGAAACACTGCTTCTGAATTGTCTGACTGCAGCTGTCAGTGGCTATTAATGTTGTTAGGATTTAAATCTTTTTTTTTCCCCCTCTCCTGGGGCTAACTGTAGTCAAATCGTGGTCAAGTTCAGGAACTTACAGTTCTGCTGCTATTTCTAGTCATCTACCTGCAGTGATTGCTAGGTGGTAGCATTATTCATTGTGATGTTGAATTGACTATAAACTCAATTCCTTAACACTATTCTCTACGTTCAGTGTCCTCAGAGTGAGCTGGATACTGAAACAGTGAAGAGCATCTTAGCAGAGTACAAAATTCACAATGCTGATGTCACACTGCGCAGCGACGCCACTGCTGATGACCTCATTGATGTTGTTGAAGGAAACAGGTACTGTTGGGCTCCTGGCTTTGTTTCTAACCTGCAGTTTCTATTGCAAAGAGTTCTCTCTTAGGTGTGCTTCCCACAGAAGCTAAGCTAGCAATGTGGTATCAGCATAGGGAGATCTTTCTGATGAAGACAGATGATGCTGCTAGGCTGCTGTAACAGTGTTTTCTTTCTCTTTGCAGGGTTTACATCCCATGCATTTATGTCCTAAATAAAATTGACCAAATTTCCATTGAGGAGCTAGATATTATTTACAAAGTACCCCACTGTGTACCAATATCTGCTCATCACCGCTGGAACTTTGATGATCTGCTGGAGAAAATTTGGGACTACTTAAAGCTAGTACGAATGTGAGTCCCAGTTGCTATCTTCTGTGTAAAATCTATTGTAAAAAGGGATTTAGAATGTTTAGGTATCTGGGCTGCAGCTTTGTCAGTTGAGCTTTTCCCAGAAAAAAAAAAAAAATCCCGAGTTGGAGCTATAATAATCTAGATGGTTTTTCCATCAATTATTCCAGTTTCATCATCTTTTAAGCTCACTAGTGAGAAACCTTTGCAATTACAAGGGAGAACCTGCTGCAGACATTGGTTAGCCAGATTCAATTTCAGCTTGGAAACACCAAACACTTCACGGTGTATCTATTGTCACCACTGAAACAGTGGAACTTGGCAGAAGGATGACAGCGCAAGTGATCTATGAGGTTTCATGATGGGTTGAAAGAGAAGAGGAGGTTTTGCCATTGACTGACTGTTCCATCTGCATTACAGCTACACCAAACCTAAAGGGCAGCTCCCAGACTATACCTCTCCTGTGGTACTACCTTACTGCAAGACCACAGTGGAGGATTTCTGCATGAAGATCCACAAAAATCTCATCAAAGACTTTAAATAGTAAGTAGTATTGTAAAATAATAATTTATAGAGAATAGAAAATAATCTACCTCCTGGTCTGTTCTTTAATTCTCTTGTAAACTAGAAGGGAAGAAGGGTTATCTTATTTTTTTTAATGCTGATGGAATTGATCTGCCCGTGACAAATTACTATATTTGATGTTCCTATGCTCTTTCCTGGATAAATTTCCTCTGTGGGGAAGAAATATTTGAAGGCAGCATTCCAGGCCATTGTCCTGTATACACAAGTACTTTGGATGACTTCATGGTTTGTTTTGATCTGCTGGTACTCTGGTTCACACAGCCCACTCATCCAGGTACTTGCAGGAGAATAAAAATAGCTCTTAAGCATTGCTTTCTGTATTAGCTTTGTGACAGAAATAGCTGCTGTTCCATTGTTGGCATGTTACACTTCTAAGCCTTTTAAACTTGATTTATTTTTTTCTTCTCCTTTCAGTGCACTGGTCTGGGGTTCATCTGTTAAACACAACCCTCAGAAAGTTGGTAAAGACCATACTCTGGAAGATGAAGATGTTATTCAGATCGTGAAGAAATAAAGTCATTCTCACAGTTTGCTGCTGTGCCTGAAATTTGTCTTTAGTTGTAAGTAAGTGGCAAAGAACAGGCTGATTCTGTGAAAACCTGTAACAAATGGGTATTGGGTTTTTATTATTATTTTTTACCTTATTGCATGGTAGAATTAGCGTTCAAGTGTTCACATTCACATGACAGGAATTATTTTGTTCTAAATTAGAACAAAACATGAAAAGCAGAGGGTGGAGAACCATATCTTATGAAACCATCCTAGAGGACATAGAGTTCTAGCTACCATAATCTGAAATGTTCCTGTTTGAATAGTTCAAAGGCTATTAATAGCCCTGTGGTTGTGGAAAAGGGGGTAGGTTCTGCTCACAAGCAGTCACTTTTTTCAGTTGTTTATGCTAGTGGAAGTAAACTCCTGGTTTTGAGTTTTCTCAGGATTTCCTGCTTGCATAAACTTGCACAAGAGGAGCAGACCGCTCTAAAAGCAGGGGTTATATTGCTTTATTAATTTCTATCAAGTTAAGTATGTGCTTCTATCAAATGCCTTGGCCTTCAGTATTTGCTCTCCTACAAAAAAAGGAATCAGGGAGCATTAAATGTGTCAAAAATGCTCCCTCTCATGTTACTACAGCTATTGAAGAAAGTACAGTGCTTGAATAGGTGATAAATCACTAAAGCTTACAATAATGGTTGTTATTCAGCCTTGATTCTACTTTAAGCATTTTTTCCCTAACATTTTTTCTAATCTTAGAAGTAGATTCCTGCATTAAGTTGGCTGAGCTATGGCAGATGTGCTGGGTTATCAGCCTTGACTCTGAACAGCGAACCTCATTCACCCTTTCTTTAAGGCTTAGAAGGTTTAGGAGTTCCTGTAGTACACTGGAATCTCATTCCTTGCACTTAACAATGGCTGTACAAAACCAGTTAAATGCAGCAATCCCACTGTATGGCTTCAGTGAGGCCCAGCTACCTTCTTCAGGGTTATTTCTCTCCCCCCATGGAAATTCTCTGCAGATTCAGCTCAAACAATGCTAAAAATCAATCAATACAGTGACAAGAGTTTAGTTCAAAAGCAGTAGATATAGACAGCTGGTAGAATCAACTTTATTTACAGAATGTTACTGGGAAAGTGTCAAGTTAAAAAAGTATGAAAACAATCTTACAAGGACAAGCTGGTGATTGCATGTTTTACACAGATTGTTTTAGGAACAACCACTAGGAGTATATAGGTGACCCCCAAGGAGATTCCACATTGGAGATTTCAGCTTGCTATTTCTGTACAACATTGTCTCTGCCAGACTGAAACAAACCCACCACAGCATGCTGGCAATTGGTATAATACAGGCAAGTGATTTTAATTTTTTCCCCCCCTGCTGCTGGTTTTGCATTCAGTGAGACCTAAGAAAGAGCAAGTCTGTGAGAACTGGGTTTGCTTGCACCTTTAAAAGAGCACACTGGCCTACGCTAGAGAGAGGACATGACAGCAGGACTAGACTCAACACAAGTGAGACAGTGACGTGAGGAGCCATGCAGTAGAAGGATGGAAGAGAACATCTAACTGTTCAGGAAAGTGAAACAGGCTTAAAAAAGGAACATAGTATTTTAAAACCAAATATACACAGTAAGATCACAAAACTACCCCATCCTCTCCCTTTCAAGCTGCTGAACAAGACTCCAAGGCAAGTTTCACAGTAATTGCATCAGTAGATGCACACTAGACTGAGGACAGTTCTTGGGACTCTGTTCCCT